AGAATACTAATAACATTTTCATATAGAACAAGTAAACAGTTTAACATTAATGAGTCTTTAATGTTTTCCTTATATTTCTTCTGGATCTTTTGTATCTAATTTTCCACTAAGTTCTGCTCTTTTTGTCACAGATACCTGAAAGTCTTTCAGTTCATCAAACATCCATTTTTTTTTCCATTCAGGATTATACTCAACTTTGCTGGGTAAGTTATTCTTGGTCACAACCCCAACTCTTTTATTCTTAAAAATATGATGTTCCAAGACCTACAGTCTTTCAGTGTAGAAGGTGCTAGGTCTTGTGAAATGTATCTCTGCCATATTTAAATTGGTTTTGCTGTTGTTGTTGTTGTTGCTTACAATATTTTCTCCTTAACCTGAGAGTTTTAAAACTTGTCTACAACATTCCCGTAAGTTTTCCTCCTGGGATCTCTTTCAGTGGGTGAACAGTAGATATACATATATTTTTTAAATTTCTACTTTACCTTTTTGTTCTAGAACTTTAGGGCAATTTTCCTTAATAATTTCTTGTAATGTGGTATCCAGATTCTTTTTTTGATCATAACTTCCAGGTGGTCCAACAATTCTTATGCCACCTCTCCTAGATCTGTTCTCTAGATCACTTCTAATCTCCAGATCAGTTGTTTTTCTAATGAGATGTTTCAGATCCTCTTTCATTTTTTCTAGTGTTATTATTTCTTGTATCTTATGATGTCTTATAACATCATTCAATATCTCTTGTTCAATTCTAGTTTTCAAGATATTATTTTCTTAAGATTTTGTGTCTTTTTCCAATTGGTTAACTTTCTTTTCAAATTTATCTTGGATTGCTTTTTTTTTCCTAATTTTTCCTCAATCTCTCTTACTTGATTTTTGAATTCCCTTTTAAGTTCTTCCAAGAACCCTTATTGGGCTTGTGACCATTTGATGTCACACTTTGAGGAAGCAGTGGCCTTTTTCACCCATCTCCCTCTGAATCCAGATCTTCCTCCCCAGATCTTCTTTTACACCAAAGTAGCTATCTATGCTCGGGTTCTTTTTCCTTAGCTTGCTCATTTTTATTTTATTTTTAGCAGCTTACTATTATAGTAATTATTATTATCATAATCAAGTTCTAATCTCGAGCTGTGGGTAATGTTGCCCTAGGCTTCAGGTCCTCCTTACTGTTATTTTCTGAATTCTGTCCAAGGGCTCAACCTCAGGCCCACCTCTCCTCTCCTAAGCCACAATCAGGGCCCCTGGCCTCACTGCCTCACTGTCCCAAACATGTCCCTGTTCCCTTCAGTACCACTTATAGGGCCTGTGCTCATTCCTCCTCGGCCACAGCCACAGCCCAGGATCACTTCTGGTCAGCACTACAGGGCCTGCCTTCCAGAAACAGCAGGGGGTCCCTCAATCTTCCCCCTACCCATCTGTCTGCTCTTCCTTAGATGAAAGTTTATGAGGTAAAAGTTCAAGAGGCAAAAGATCCTAAGGCTGTGAGGTGAAAGTCTGTGAGGGGAACTTTCTTGAGGCCTCCTCCTGCTTAGTGACAGCTGCTCCACGGCCTGCTGTTTACTGACCCAGCAGAGTCAGCCTGGAGGAGTCTACACTTCACCCAGGACAAACCTCAGCCCCTGGAGATCCTATCTCTTCTGAGGTCCTCTCAAGTTGTCTTGGAAGGACAACGGCTCTACCCCTTTATTTTTGCCACTCCATATTCATTAGGTGGAGATTTTCTGTCTGTGTGTGGAGGAAATCAGGACAGCCTAGAAATTTCTGATCTACTCTCTGCCATCTTCCCAGAATCCCTTCTCAATCCTATTTAAAAACGGGACATTGTCAAACATGCTCCCCCTGATTTACCTGTTAGGTCATATAAGAGGCCACAGTTCACTTTTGTTTACCTCTTCTCTGATCCTGAAATCATTTAAAAAGAAATAAGAGTGGGGAGGGGAAAGGATGAGAGGAGAACTCACTGGGAAAAATCTTTCTCCATAAAAGAGACTGGACCAGTTCAAAAAAGAATGGAACCTAGGGTACCCAACTTTGAGCATGTGTCTTCTAAGTTTTAACTTCAATTAATATGAGGCAAAGTTTGAAGATTCAAAGTCAAAAGTATCTACATGGAGTATTTCCTTGTATACTGGATATGGGACCTCTGATTTCCCTATAGTACACTGAGTATAAGGGTTCACAAAGATACATCATTTAAACATGAATCTTACATAAAATCCACATTGAATTGTCATAGTTAAGTCATTAACTATTAATTCAAGTCCTTGTCACTGTAACTATGTAAACCATTCACTTAGCTCTGCTGGGTTTTTTGTATTTTGTTTTGTTTGGGGGGAGGGCTATATAGACTTGTGATTTGATCAGTGTGGGAAATTGACTGGTATGGAAATCCCTTCCACCAATAGTGATCAGCAACACAACTGTACCTGAGTCATGGAGACACTGCCTGGGGAAACTGTGAGGTTAAGTGACTTGCCTGTCAGTGACAGGACATGAGTTCCTGCCTCCAAGTCTGGGAGCCTAACCACTTAACTGCTGCCTCTCGAAGCCCCACTGCTGGATATAAGCAAATGCAAATCTTCTGATATCTTTAAAAGGTTAGTTGGGGCAGCTAGGTGGTGCAGTAGATAGAACACCGATCTGGAGTCAGGAGGATCCGAGTTCAAATTTGGCCTCAGATCAAACACTTTGACACTTACTAGCTGTGGGACCCTGGGCAAGTCACTTAACCCCAATTGCCTTAAAAAAAAAAGGTTAGTAAAAGAGGATTTCAAACTGAATTACAGGGATAGAGGTTACAAAGAATTCCAATAACTTACAAGATTTGCTGTAAGTTCCTTGCCATCTCCCTTTACTAAAGGATCACTAGATGACATTCCAGGATCACTGCTACAGATCTCCTTTGTTTCTTGACCTCCTCGTGCCTTCACAAGTTTCTCATTCCTCTTTGAGAGGTACCAAGCTCCCCATAGTTCAGAGATCTCCAGGAACCATTCAGATTGCCTATTATTCCCTCTAGGACTCAGAATCTGTTTACTGAAGTGTCTTTCCTTCCTCATTTGCTACATTCTAAGAGGAAGTGTGGTGTAGCATAAAGCACTGAACCTGGAGTGCTAACTAGCTATGCGAATGACTTCCCCTCTTTGGATTTCAGTTTCCCAATACGTGAAATGAAAAAGTTGGAATATGGTCTTCCAACAATTCTTCTTGGTTTTGTTTTTAAAGGATGGTTTCTGATACTGTGTTTAGATATCATAGCATCTTTTTTTTGTTTGTTTGTTTTTTTCTTTTGGCTAGGCAATGGGGTTAAGTGACCTGCCCAGGGTCACACAGCCAGTATGTGTTATGTGTCTGAGGCCACATTTGAACTCAGGTCCTCCTGAATCCAGGGTCGGTGCTCTATCCACCGCGCCATCTAGCTGCCCCAATGTCATAGCATCTTAAGAAGGATACCAGAGCAAAAATGTGATCCTTATTATAATAACTATTCTGAAATCTATGAACAGCTATTGTGCTGTAGAGACACGACCCAATTTACATAGGTTTTTAGTGTAAGTGCCTCTCATTTGTTGAATAGAACACTGTCATTGCAATATCCTTTTTCTAAATTATTGTAGATATTTAGAAAGTCCCTTTTACTGTTTCCATTGAGGAAGTAAACAAGAAGTGCATTTGATCACTGGCAAAAAGGGTGAGCTTTTGATCTAGAATCTATGGCCACATCTGTGGCTAAGCCCATGTAATATTTTGGTTTGTAAACCACAACATTCAAATGACAAATAAATCCAATATATCATAGTTCAAACTTAACTCAGTAAGCCAAACAGGGAGCCAGGAAGTCAGCTGCTGGGACTACTAATCCTGTTATTTCAAGCTTATGCGCCTACTGACAAATCCATTTATGCCACAACCCACTTTCTGTAAAAGAGGATATGACAATATCAAGATAGAATAGAGATTGGATCTATGATTTCATTGGAATAGGGAACTCCCAAGTGAGGAAACTCCCACCAATGGAGGTTGACACTAAAGTCTTAGAAGGCTGCCTAGAGTCGTGGCCTCAAATTCCAATAGAAACAGATTTCTGCTGGTCACATTGTGACTGAGAAAACCACAAATTAACACAATCTAGCTTGTGCTCTATTTTTATTTTGTTAAACATTTCCCAATTATATTTTAATCTGGTCCCCACGCTTGGGAGTTCTGCAGGCCAGTTTGACGCCTCTGGCTAGAGCATGGAGAGGTTTAGGGACTTGGCCAGGGCTACACAGAGAGTTCCATTAAAGGGGAGACCTAAAACCACATCTTCGTGGTTTGCTAACCACAAATCTATGTCTAAGGTAACTCACAAAATATAAAAGCTAATTCAAAATTGTCACGTAGGATTTTGTGGTTCTTTATGCAAATTTAAGTATTGACAGTGATATTTTTAAAAGGTTATCTCAGCGACAGCATCAATAAAAGGATTAATAAAAGAAATGATCAAAGATAAAGGTAAATTATCATATCAAAAATATCATTAGTTATTTAGATGGGGATAACTTCCATTCAAAGTAGATCTTCAATTTTATTAAAATTATGATGTAAGAGTAATATCCTTACCTTAGAGAGTTCATAAATCTTTTCAAATTTTACATAACAGTCTCCAGTATACCAATGTATTTGCAAAAGTCAAACTTTTGGCTTGAGTTTTTGTTTGGTTTTTTGTTTTTGTTTTTTGCTAAGCAATGGGGTTAAATGACTTGCCCAGGGTCACACAGCTAATAAGTGTCAAGTGTCTGAGGCTGGATTTGAACTCAGGTCCTCCTGACTCCAGGGCTGGTACTCTATCCACTGTGCCACCTAGCTGCCCCTAGCTTGAGTTTTTAATGCTCAATTTGCCAGATACAATATTTGATCATTTCAAAAATTGTTTCTGATATTCGAGAGAATGGTTTTCACCTTTTCATTATTAGGTACTGAAGTTAGTTGGTTTACCTGTATATTAAAAGTGTGACTGAAATTGATCCAGACAAAAGTTCTAATCATTTTAATATTTAAGACCTTATTGTAAGACATCTTCATCTTAGTACAAGGTAAATCAGAAATTTCAAAATTCACTGGTCATGTAAATTGCCTTCAACATATTTTGTACTTGAGATTTTCATGTTATTTGTATGTGGTTTGCAAGACGTTAAACAGAAGCAGCCGCTTTATCAATAAACTGAGCCAGTTTTATATCTCTCTTGGTCAGTCCACCACAGTCATGCGAAATAAGAGTTATCTGGACCTAAAGAAAAAAAACAACTTATTAAAGAAAAAAAAAATCAAATTCTTTAGTATCTTTCAAGCAGGACAGATTGTTGATCTAATGTTAAACATTCATATGACAATTTAAAGAACAAAGAAGCTTTTTAAAAGTGCTTTATATGAAAATATCTGTAGTTCCTAAACACAACAAAACCAAACAAGGAAATTTCATCATAATGGATGCCTACCATGCTGCTAACTTGGGATTAAAAACCTTTTTCACTTGTAAAGTCAGTTTAGTTGCCATAGTCTCAACCTTTCCTCTTAAGAAAAAAATAGCAATTACTTAAGTAGGGTTTCAGACCTCTATGTTGAATTAGGCCACTGAGGGGACTTAAGTCATTAAAAATACAGCATCTTAATTATTTTTATCTTTATAAGCACATCTCTAAAAAGGGGGGGACAAGAAAAAGGAGTTACTTCTTCACAGACTAGTTGATAAATGAAACAGAATTTTATCTATTAGCAGAGGCAGCCAGGAAAACAATCTACCCCAATATCAGGCTGTTATGAGTGACTCTTAACAAAATACACATACTAGTGTAATATGGGTCGTACAGCTCATGAGCATATCACTCCTTGCCTACTTCCAGGTAACCGTATGTGTGACTCAGCACAGAAAGCACTTGGGTCCTTTGGAGATGACAAACTTCCTGGCTACTTCTGGTACCCAGTGCTGACACCTCAATCCGATACCTGAATGATCCCCAAGCTCCGCAGCTCAATATGATTGGAGAATCCCCAGAATCAGGAAAGCAGATGTACTAGAGAAGTGGTAGCCAGGGGCCCAAAGAAGTTGTAGCAGGCCACAGTCAGGAGAAGTCCCTTCCTTGCCATCTCCCTCCCCCACATAAACACACACATAACCATACCATGCCTAAGGGACACCTAAGTTAAGCAGCAATATCAGCATCCCCATCTAACCACTCTTCAAACATGGACCATAGAATCTAAAACAAGTATGGGTAAGGGACTTGCACAAAACCCACCCATGGGTCTGTGAAAGTAAGACGGGATGCCAAGGACTGGCTTCTTCCCAAAAGGACTAATAGGAGGCACAGAAGGGAGAGGTGGTAAGTAAATTAAGACCAGAAAGATGGTCAAATCTATCTGAATAAAGAAAACTAGTGGAAATCTGTAGTGGTTCTGTCATGTAAATCTGCAGTGTGACATAGGCATAGAGGTGAAAAACTAATAGAATCATCCATTAGCTGGTTACTTCTAGTTTCCCCTAGCATAGTGGGTGCTACCCTTCTGCTGCTGCTGAGGATGGAGAAGGAGGGGAGCCTCTTAGTTGATTTTCAGAAGTTCTACACAGACCGGTACCTACAGAAAGTCATCCCAGCCTTATGTCATGCCATACTATCTGTCCCTCCTAACTGCTCCAGCCTCTTTTCATTTTGTAAAGTGAAAGATTAGAGGTCTTGGGGCCCAAATGATCTCAACTAATTCTCAAATAGTAAATGGGTAAGAAGCCAGACTTACTGGGATAGAGACACCCTAAGTTACAGCCTTCCTCCACTCCCTACCTCACTCTCTAATTAATTAGTTCCTGATGCATTCTAGGGTCAAGAAAGATGAACATCACTGCCTTTCCATCACTTGGTCTCCAACTCTCTCCTGCAAAGGTCCAATAGCTGTGGACCCTCCCCACCAGAACTGCTCTTCCCAAACGAGTGAACTGTCCTCACATACTCTGACCCGGGGGAAGGGAAGAGGAATGGAAAGAGAACAGGCAAGGGAAAAGATTTATCATATGCCTAGGTATTTTGTTAAGTGCTTTATAAATATTATCTGATTTGTTTCAACAACTCTGGGAGGTGGGTGCTATTATGATCTCCATCTTACAGTTGAGGAAACCGAGGGAAACAGAGGTTAAATAAAGCCCAAAGTCACACTATGATAGTAAATATCTGAGGCCAGATCTGAACTTGGGTCTTCCTGACTCCAGGCCCAGTGCTCTATCTACTATGCCCCTTAGGGAATATATGTGCATGTTCTATACGATCCACCTATATGCTAAATTTTCTCTCATTTTACAAAGATGATTACCAAAGGGGAAACAAAACACCTTGGAAATCTTAAAAGATGAGACTTTGCAGCTGATATCACCTAAAATGAAGGGAAATAGTTTTTGGTTTAATTACTTTTAATCATAATCTTGAGTGTCACTTAATGCAAGGTATCTTCTATATGGTAATTAAAATCAACTACATCATGTAATTTCTCCCTTATTCAGGAATTTAGCCTCGCAAGAAACACCGTAGATTAAGAAAGACGCCTGCAAATCAAACATTCACCTAGTGGGACCTAATTTGACTACACTTGACTTATATTAATTCCAGTAGAAGAAAAACATAAAATAAAGAACAAGTAAAAATGTTACTAACTTGAAATAATACACATGAACTACAAACTTTGAAGAAAGAGCTGGAGAAAGAGAAAGAGAAGGAGACAGGAGCAGAAGCAAAGGAGAAGAGCCAGTATTTATATAGTGGCAACTACATGACAGGCACTGTGCTAAGCATTTCACAAATATTATTTTATCCTCACAACAACCCTGGGAGGTAGGTACAATTCTTATCCCCATTTTACAGTTGAGGAAACTGAGACAAGTTAAATGACTTGTCCAAGGTTAAGTGTTTCAGGCTGCATTTGCATTCAGGTCTTCCTGACTTGAGTTGTAACATTCTGTCCATCGAGTCATCTACTTACCATTGATAATACCTGTAAAAAAAAGTATATATTTCTATTGACAAAGCATCTAACAGAATTTGGATTCTTAGAAATAATTTCATATTTATTGTTTGTGCATGCAAGTGTATATGTGTGTGTGTATACACACAAATATCTACACATGCATATTTATTATATATACATATATCTATATCTAACTACAGATAGATATCTCTCCTTCTAAAGCTAAAGCCTTTTATAATAACATAATTTAAAAAAGAAACAAAACAGAAAATGCCTTCCAAGGTACCGGACACTCTGCCCCATGCAAGATAAAGTAAAGGAATGCAAGAGAAACTGCTTAAAATCTGTACTTACAATCACCAAAAAATAAACCAATGAACTGACCTTGTTATACACATTGAACCATTCAGGGTGGTGATTCATCTTTTCTGCTTGTAGTGCCACTCGGGACATAAACCCAAAAGCCTGAGAAGAGACAAAAATGAGTAACTATTCATATTTTCTCCAGCACAGACTCAGCTGTGTAAAAGAAATTTAACTAGATAAAAGATTACCAGAAACCTCACAAAAACCTGAAGAAAACATACACACACACACAAAACAAACAAAACAAGTTATCTAGAGCTACAGTGGCATGGGATCTACAATGACAAAGAGGGATTTTAACGGATGAAAGATAGTCTCAGAATATTCTCACTCAATGAGCTATCTGGACATTTTAACTGTCTATAGAGTGAGGCACTCAAAAATAATGTAGCTGCAACTCTCCAACAGCGAGCAGAATCCAATTATGCCTTAGATCTATAACAGGTGGAGGCTCACTTTCTGGTCAGATACGTAAAAGGAACTATTATACTGTAGGTTATGGGTATTTTTTTTTCAGTTATCAATTATTAAACTAGATAAACCATTAAGCCCTTCCAGTAGACTTGAAAACAAAATTTCAGTTGTGAAAGAGAATGTTTCCCATCTACCTACCAACCTCCCTCAATAATATTGTTGTGATAGGATGAAAAATTTTCCTTCAATCATTTTAACAATGTGACCAGTAAAATGGCACATTCTCCAGGCCCCTTTCACCCTCAAACTCTCCAAAAAAAGAATTATGCACCACATGTGAAGTAATTACAGCTGAATTCCTAGGACAAAGAAGAGAGCACCCCAACAGGAGAGAATTCAAATTCTTCAAGTGACTGCTCAATCAGCCCCTTTCCCACCATCATCTAGGTCCTGCATCCTGGAGCCCTCCTTGGGATTCTCACTGATCCACACTCTTCCAGAATACTTTCACCTGGCAACAAGAAGCAGACACCAATACTACCCAACCACTGGAGAAGGAAGGAGAGCAATGAAAATATGCTGTCTTTTGCAGAAGGCCTTGCCCTAGCTTTGAGACTCATAAGGCTACAGGCACTCTGTACCCAAACACCCTTGCTACACCCTGCAAAAATGGCAGATAACATTTCAGCTGTGTCATGAGAAGGAAAAAGGGGAGAGTCAAGGGAGGAACTGGGGTGGGAAATCAGCATGCATGGCCACCCTGGGCCTAAATGAAAAGAGACTTAAATTAAACCCAGATAATGCCAGTGCTATCCCCTCAAAGACCTCTTAAGGCTAGGGACCTAGACCATCAAACTCTTTATCCTTCAACCTGTGAGGGGGTTAAGATAAGTCTGTGGCTTAACCTTGGGAAAATACAGTCAACAAAGAGGAAGGAGTCAGAAAAGTACAGATAAATGTAAAAAAAAAAATGTAAAACACTGAAGATTTCAGGAGGAAAACCCCTAAGAAAAGCCCAGAAAACAAACAAATAAATCAAGGATGAAAAAACAAGGATGAGTACTAAATCTTCAAAAAGTTTCTAGTACTCTCTTAACAAATATTTTAGGACAAATAAAAATGATCCACTGTTTGATGAAATATAGAACTTTTTGAACTCTTATCAAAGTACAGAACAAAAAATTTCAGAATGTTTCAAAAGAGAAATTAAATCTATAACAAAAACTAGAAATGAATGTAGCTCACACCTTAGAGACCTAAATGCATTATTTTAAAATCTAAGACATGAAGTGGTTAAAAATTTCAATGACAACAAAATCTGCAAGCAGGTAGGGAAAAACTTTCAGATATAATGGAAAAGAAATTTGAATAACGCAAGACTATTTCTCAGCAAAGAGAAACTGCAGAACAAAATGAAAGAGTATAATCTGAAAAGCAAAGGAGTTTAAGTGCACCTCAAAATGGAATCCTCAGAAAACCTGAGTTAAGGCATCAACAATAAAAATGATACATTCTGGGGCAGATAGGTGGCGCAGTGGACAGAGCACCGGCCCTGGAGTCAGGAGGACCTGAGTTCAAATCTGCCCTCAGACACATGATACTCACCAGCTGTGTGACCCTGGGCAAGTCACTTAACCCCGACTGCCTCACCAGAGAGAGAGAGAGAGACAGAGAGAGAGAGAGAGAGAGAGAGAGAGAGAGAGATATTCAACAAAAGACAGCCATTTAAGGCAATGCAGAGAAGAAGGCGGAGGCATGAGCAGAACATTCAACTTGAAAACACCCCAAACAGAAGCATAAGGAAAATATATAAATAAATACAAGTAATATGGAAAAAAAGGAATGAAATAAATTATCCCATATTTAGAGGTTATATTTTTCAAGAGAAAGGCTGACCCATGGAATTTTTTTAAAAGGGTTAAAAAAATTATATAAGAAGATATAAGCAGAACTTTTTTTTTTACCATTTAAAAAACTGTTTTTCAATTAATGAGAATTTATTCCTCTTCATTCCATCACCATTCTTCTCTATGTTCCCCTCCTGATTCTCTGGACTTCCTCTGCTATGCCACAGAGCCCTCCTCACCCTGGAAATTCATTCTTCCCCTGGACTTCTCACGCTGGAAGTATACTTTGTCCCAGCAGCCTCTTCCTCTGATTGGCTGTTTTCTTGGAGAATCTCCATTTTAAGGAAAACACCAAAACCAGCCATATTTTCATTCCTCTCATGGCTCCATTCCTAACTCTGTTTCCTCTATTCTGTCCCATGGGGATACCTCTCCCTTGACCACATTTTCAGCTTCCTTTTATGTGTTGTCTTCTCCCTTCAGAATTTAAGTTCTTGGGGGTAAAGCCAAGATGGCACAGAAAAGGCAGTGACTAACCTGACCTCACCCAAATTCCCCTCCAAACAACTTTAAAATAACTCTTAAAATAAATTCTGGGGCAGCAAAACCCACAAAAGGATGGGGTGAAACAATTTTCCAGGCCAAGACAACCTAGGAGGTCAGCAAGAAAGGTCTGTCACACAGAGTTAAAGCGGAGCAGAACACAGTCTACCACATGCAACAAACACCCCATCAAGGCCTTGGGGGCAACTAAATCAGCAGACCAAGGAGAGAGAATTTAAGAACTGCTAGACTACATGAAAGCCATTATCAAAAAAACAACCTAGACATTATCTTTCAAGAAATTATTGGGGCAACTAGCTAGGTGGCACAGTGGATAGAGCCCCAGCCTTGGAGTCAGGAGGACCTGAGTTCAAATCTGGCCTCAGACACTCGACACTTACTAGCTGTGTGACCCTGGGCAAGTCAACCCCAAATGCCACACCAAAAAGGAAAAAAAGAAAAAGAAATTATCAAGGAAAACTGTCCTAATATTCTAGAACCATAGGGTAAAAGAGAAATTGAAAGAATCTACCAATCACTTCTTGAAAGAGATCTCAAAATGAAAACTCCCAGGAATATTATGGCCAAATTCCAGAGCTCCCAGATCAAGGAAAAATTACTGCAGTAAACCAGAAAGAAATAATGAAAATATCATGGATCCAGAACAAGGATGACATGGCATAACCACTGAGGAGAACAATCATAGGGGAAACAAAAGGCAGAATTGGGCCCCACAATTTAAGATACAGGATAAATTCTACAACATGGTGCTGCTTCTATACCATATTACTTGCCTCATCTCAATTTTTTTTGTATCCCTAGTTCTTAGCACAATGCTTAACAAATAGTAAGCAATTAGTAAATACTTTTTCATTTATTCATTTGGGATCCCAGAATTCTATGATTCCATGAAATAAAGGTATAGTCCATAAATCAGAGAACAAAATTTTAGTGCTGACTAGAAGAGAATTAAGGAAGAGAACAACACAAAGAAAAACTTATTAGAAAAAAACAAAGTTAAAAAAGAAAAGAAAGAATATTAACAAACACAAGAAGTAGAGAAGGGGAAAGATAAGAATTTGAACTACCCACTTAACTGAGAAAGAAGAGACAAAAGAGGGGAAGAAACAGATAAAAGAAAAAAAACAATCATTTAAGTAACACAAAACTAGAGAAAAAAAGGCAAACAGAAAAGGTTTCATACAGACGATTATGTCTGAGTTACAGCTTAAAAAAAAAAAGAAGAGGAACTGTGAGGCAAAGATCCCAGGCATGAGAGAGAATCACTGCAAAGGCATGAAGATGGAAGATGGATTGTCATACAGAGGAACAATGAGAAAGCCACTTTGGCTAGACTACAAGGAGTACAAGAGGGAGAGTAATATACTATAAGGCTGGAAAGGCAGTTTGGGGCCAAATTATATAGGACTTTAAAAACTAAACAGGGGAGTTTGTGTTTTATCATGGAGACAATAAAAAAACCACTGAAATTAGTTAAGTAGGGGAATCATCTGGTCAGATTTGTGCTTAAGGAAAATTATTTTATCAGCAGCATATAGGATGGACAGGAAAAGGGAGAGATTTAAGGCATGGCAAACAAATTAAGAGGCTGCTGCAATAATCTAGGTGACAGACAATGAGAACTTGAATTAAATAGGTAACTGTATGACCACAGAAAAGGTGCCAAATGTGAACAATTATTGTGAAGGTAGAAATAGTAAGGTTTAGCAACTGAGTGGATATTTGCAGTGAGGGAAAGTGAAGAGTTTAGGATAATGACAAATCATGAAACTGAGACACTGGAAGGAAGGTAATGCTTTCAACAGAAATAAGGAAGTTTGGAAGAGGGGAGTGTGTTTAGACATGACAAGTTTAAGATGTCTCCAGGATATCCAACTGAAGCTCAAGGGAGAGATCTAGTAGTCATCAACAGAGAGATGAGTTAAATCCATGGAAGCCGATGAGGTTACCAAGAGAAAGTACACAGGGAGAAGAGAAGAGGCCCAGGATAAAGTCTTAGGAAACATACAAAATTAAGGGGCATAATGCAGATGATGAGCCAGTAAAAAAGACTGAGAAGACTGAAAAGTCAGAGAGACAGGAGGTGAATCAGCAGAAAGCAGTATTGAATATATCAAAAAATAAAGAAAAAGCATTTGACAAAACATAATACTCATTTATGCTGAAAACCCTACAAAGCACAGGCACAGAAGGATCTTCTAAAATACGATGAGAAAAAGTATTTATCTAAAACCATGTTAACATTAAAAGCAACAGAAAACAGTAAAATAAAAA